TTATTATATTACATAGGTTTGTACAGCCTAGACGAACATGTTCAAATTGTGAATATACAAAAGAGATGTTGAAGATTAGAGATATTGACATGAAACGTACGTATTGAACTGTAAATATATAAAAGATGACAAACACAACAGAGAATTGAATAGCAGCAATCTTTTTATATTACAAAGGGTTCATGTTTGTATTTAAATGCTGCTGGTATGTAATAAAATGTTTTAATACCCGTAATTGTTAAGATACCCATTTTAATGAAGAAAATCTCTTATTGTATTTCTTACAGAAACGCACATACTTTTGTAAATAGTGAAATAGCAGTTGCTGGTTACAGGCATTCTGTTTGTCAATCGAATGACCGTCACTCAGTTGGTGCAACAATACAGGTGGTGAGCTAAATCACAGTGACTGTACTAAGAAACGAAGAAAATATGGGACACCACTGTTCTCCATCGCTACACAGCATAATCAACAATAAAAACACCATTGTCAGCGCCGTACATCGCCAAATAGGAATGTGAAACTACCATCAAATGTTCGAGAGGAAATAATGAATTATCTCTTAATAACACCACACAAATCAACTATTGCAGGATATTTCGATGAATGTTGGAGAACAAACGACACTAATAAAAGATATATATAGACCCTGTCAGACATCAATTACTGATACTCGCACTACCCACAGCAGCTACCAAAAAACATAGTTACCACCAAAACGACATAGATTACGAAACCACAAAAACCTCACAACAGCAGAGAGATGCGGCATATAGAATATCAAAATGAATAGTCGCCAAATCAACAATCTTATATATGCTGACGATGCAATAGTCATGACAGACAGCAACAAAGATCTGCAGAATCTATTTCAAAGAATCCCCCCCCCCAATGTCTCCAGCAAACTTCAAACGATATGATCTGAATACGAATTTTATGAAACAAAATTCCTGTTTACGACAAAACACCAAATTATATTTTTAATATATCCATAGAAAATGTGACAATAGAAAAAGTCCAATACTACAAGCACTTGAGCACAATAATAAATAAAACTGTCGAACAGTTATAAGAAATAATATCGATGATCGAGATAGCCCGAAGCTTTTCTAAAACTCAAGAAATTTCTTTGCAGTAGAAACATTAACCAATTAAAACAAAAATGCTTCGATGCTTTATGATGTCAACCTTATTATATGCCACTGAAATATGAACCATTAGAACAACCAAAATTGGTGACTTCCAAAAGATGGTGTTACGAATGTTACGAATTCCTTGGGCTGATAGAGTTACAAATATCATGGTGCTACGTCGTATGCACAAAGAAGAAGAGATTTTTAAAATCCTTAAGAAATTCCTAAGAGATCCCAAGTCTCAGTTACTGCAGAATATTCTGTGGCGGTGGAAAAATCTAGGAAGAACGTAATCAAAGCAGAAGAAGAACATTCTGGCTGAAGAACTTCAAAGAGTGGTGGCCAATGTCATGAGATGGATTATTTAGAACAGCTACAAATAAAATAAAAACAACCAATCTGATAGCCAACCTATGTGAATGCATATTTTTTTGTCGATATTGTCGAATGATATTTTTCAGCCAGCCTATAGTTACTTAAACAACTGAATGTTCCGAGCGAAGTAAGAATTGTTTTTGTCTTTGATTTACGGTTTAATTTTTTCATTCATTTTTTTTATGATTTTAAAAGTATCTGTTTATCTATTTAAGAGTTATATCTTATTAAAAAAATATTTTTGTTGCCATGAAATATCAGTTAGAAATGCCTATCATTCTTTTAATTTATCTTAACAAGAGTAAATATTAATAGAGAACATTTTTTTTTTAACCAATTTTATTCATAAGTTCAGATTCAAAAAAGACCATCAATCAGAATCCAGTCGAAGAGGATCAGGCCCTTAATCCTCCGCAACCAAGAGTCCTCGAGGATCATTATCAAAACCAAACATTAATTAATTTACATGTCTTAAGAACATGCCTTCGAAAACATTTTGATCAGACTTTACTTTCCAGAAAACTTTAAGATTAATTCAAAATTAATACTCTAAACAGGTTTTTATTTTATTTAATACAGTTTTAAATTAGGAAACGATACTCAAAGAAGAGACATATAAAAAGTTCAGTTGACTAACGATGAGAGAGACTGGGAAGATTATAAAAATAAACAGAATACTATAAAAGCAGAATGATAGAAAAGCGTTCTATGAAAAATAACATCTATGGATGTCGTGCTAATCGTACGAAAATGAGGCAAACAATAAAAAATTGGTAGGCAGTAATGAAGTCATACCCTTACAATCCCTTTCCAAAATTGACGTTCAAGTATCCAAGAAAATTTTAACACTTCTTATGCTGAAAACATTATAGATATTTCTAAGAGTATATCAAACTGATGACGTATATCAAACTGATGAACTGATTTTGTCATAGGAATTATACCACAACGCTAAAGTTAGAAAGGTTTAAATTACTCAAATTGAAAGAGCTACTTAGTGTTTATCTTGAAAAATAAATCGACATCTGAAAAAGTTTCCTGCGTAATTTTTGAAATTTGTTTGACGTAGACTATCCTCTATCGAATTTAATAGACACTCCTTTATCTACCGGATAAGTTTCAAAAGAAATGAAAACTAGTCTAATAATTCCAGTTCTTGGACAGCAAGACCATACAAAGACTTTAGACCGATATATTTCTTCCTGTATATTGACAAAATATTAAAGACTCTCATATGCTACCAGGTACGTACTTTCTTTGAAACAGATAGGAGTATTTATAAAATTCAATCCGAATAAATAAGATTTAATTGTAAAAAATGTAGATTGTTCTTAGTGACAATCCAACTGAAAATTCTACCTGCGTATTTATAGGCCTAGTCTGTGTCCACCTTTTCTTTAAGAATTTATTTATCGATTTTTGCGAACCCTGGTATGTTTACTTTAAGTTGACAAAAAACGTCTATGTTTTTGTATTGTTTAGTTTTCGGCCCTTGCCTTGAACAAACATTATCGCCACGGAGTTATTCAGGCGTAGAGAAACAAAATATTCGAACACTGAAATTACGAACAAACTTCCCTTCCTTTAAGAAATGTGATGCAATAGAGTAATAGATTACACAAACACAAGAAATGTTCAAATGACAAATTTTTGAAATTAAGAATAACCTAAAAATCATATTTTGATGATCTCCTAGTTGCGAGACCGGAAAAGCACTTTTAGAATATACGTGCTAAAAATAATTTTGATAACAAAATTTGAAAAAATGCATATATGTAAAACCTTCTAATCAGTGATGGAACTATTTAATGTACTTTCTACTAATCTGACGAACGCTCTAGTAATGCTAAATTATTTCAAAAATCTATGAAAGTCAACAAAACAATAATAATGTTCAATATAAGTAAATAATATTGTTATTCCAAGGATATTTTTAGTGAACCGATTGCTTGACCCCACACCTGAATGTAAAATCGTTATTTTTGGGGCTTACTCAACCGGGTCTCACAATGCAAATTCACCTCAAATATCCCTTTAGTTGGTCATTGGCAAGCACTCTCTCATTGTACATGAAAATAACAAAACAAACATTTACTGATCTGGATAAAATTGATAGTTAAATAGTAAGACTCACCCGGGGGTACTCCGCCCCATAGCCACTGACATCACTGAAATTCTATTCAATATATCCCATTCCATATCTTCCATCTAATTCAATTATTACTCGGATCTATTGGTTAATAATCTTCAACAACTAGCTAGTGTCACCTGAAATAGTATAGGGGTTCTCCCGGACGCAAATCTGCCGCTAAACAGATTCGCATCCCAATCGATGGGGCTAATTGGGGTCCACACACAACGCCCCAGCGGTGTCAATCGAGAAGCAAGAGAGACCTCAAACTCTCAAGACCATCCTCGAAGGAACGACGTCAAGAGGTTTTTAACTCCCATAGTCAAAAGACTCGCTACTTCCAAATGTCAGCTCTGTGACAAAACACAACACTACACAGCCGGCCGGCCTATCAACAACTGACTGACCTGCCGAGCTAAGCCTCCTCTTACATCACAATTTTACCTGATCACAAATATTTACATTGCTTGCCAATGAATCATACTGTTTTCTCTAATCGACCTTCAAATAGAGTGTTTTAGCATTACCAAATAAATAAATAAAGAGGTTCCGAAAGAATGCATATTGTTTATTAGAATAGTGAATAAATAAAAGCATTATTATGACGAACTTATTTTCCAAGTTTTACACCATATATATCAAAAACATTATGCACGAGAACCCATTTCACCTGGAGAAATGCTTTGTTACTTTGTGGCAGCGTCGTCAAAATAATCGATAACCGGATCACAAAACCATTCTGCGCAAACGCGAACCTTAAAATCGCGCGAATATTCGCAAAAAGTTGAAAACACTTTAACTTTCCCGCCCCCCAAATTTTAAATCTTGTGAATTGCCATAATCTTAAAATTTCTGACAGCGCCGCCATGATCATTAAAATTGAACCGATGAGAGCAGTTTCGCAAAATCGCGATTCGCGATTCGCGTCTACTTGAACAAGGCTTAAGGCTTGAGTTAGGACGCTCCGGCTTAACCTCGATCGTTGCCACTTTTCCTGACCCGTCTCGTGTGTCACGGCCCTCAATTTTTAGTCATATCGCGCGTAAAGAAGTTCACTTCAATAAATACTTTTACTTTTAAAGTTTTCTATGTCAGTAGGTATATATTCAGATTTAAACTACATATTGGTACCTACCATGTAAACTGTCTACAAGTAACGTTAAACAATCCAATGCGGCAATGTAAAGTAAAAGTAATTATTAAAAAAAATTAAAAATATACCTGCAGATTTATGGAAAATACTGACGAAATTTACGAAATGAATTTTCATAAAAGGCAATAAAATTAGAAATTAGTTGTCCTTAACTTACTTTCCTTACGTAACCGGCTTCCTTTTTAATCTGTTCCCTTTATGTTCCAGCTTTGAAGAGGGGAAATCCGACAAGGAAATCCTAGATAATCTTTTGCGAGCGACACGGTATGACAAAAGGCTACTGCCGCCAGTAAGAGGTAAGTTTTTATTGTCTTTGCATGTTACGTTAAGCTGAATTGGCTTTACCATTTCATTTTCACTCTGTATTATACTCATTACTGGCATTATGTCCGGCAATTTAATGAAAGAATACATCTCTAATTGAAAAATTAGTAAAAATACAGGGTGGCCCGAATTGTATTCCGGAAACTTCGACCGCATATTCTGCAGATAAAAATAAGTATAGAAGTTTGTATAAATGTATGTCTTAAAATGCTTAGTTTCGGAGATACAGGGTGTAGAAGTTTCATTTTCATTTCGATTTTTTCCAAATAATTTCTGAAGTAACGCCAATATTTGGATGAAAATTGATGTCTGGGAGTTTTTTGACATGAGAAATTTGATTTTGATGTCAATATGACCCCTATTTGTAGGGGGCATCACCTACATATATTTTAACTGATTTGAAGAGTAATAACTTTTAGTCCGTACCTGTATAAAACTACTGAGTAAAAAACATCAATTTCCGTGACTTTTTACGTAAAAAATGTCTCTTGGTATAAATCGCTACAAGCAACCGTTCTCAAGATATTTAGAATGGAAATAGTCAATACATGTCATTTTAACAAAAAATAAACACCTTGAGTAGATACGGTATGATCGAAAAAAAAACGGCGTCCAGTTGGCTTGGAAATGACGATCGATGACATTTCCCATATAATTTTACATATGAAATGACAGCGATCTTCATTTCATAGCCATCGCTGTAGTTACTTTGTGTAAGTTTAGTAGCTTTTGATTTGTAGATACTTCTTAGGTTTTCTCAGGCCTGGATTAAGGGGGGGGGGGCTATGGGGGCTATAGCCCCCGTCCCCGTCATTGAGAGGGGCCCCCGAATCAGGAGAATTTAATCGAGATTAGTTAAATGAAAATGTACATAGGTATTTAGTCTTATTAAATATATTGCAATATATTGCAACAGACAACTTGTTATTCTCATAATGTTAAAAACATACTCTTCTTCTTTTTTTTTGGGTGGCAACACACTTTCCCCAAAAAATATCAAGAGTGCTGCATAGACAATGGCTCGTTCTTCTTTTTAAATTTTTCGGGATGGATGAATTACCGAAAGCCGAAAGCGCTAGGGGAATTACTCAGATTAGAATCCTCTTTTTTATTCTATTTGATTAGTAATTTTTGCATAGCGCATCTACGAAGTAAGCGATTGCGAATAATAGATTTAAGAAAACAAGAACAATAATACGTTTTTAACTGTGTAGTGTATACCAGTATTTTAAAAAATATCGTGTAGCAGAAAATATCTTAGTGGATCTGCTAAACGTAAGGTAGGAATCAGTAGCCTTATTATGCATTTACTTGATATGACCATTTATATAATAATTTTGGTATTGACAATTAAATTAATAATAACTTTTTTAAGTTTTCTTCTTTTAAAAATAAGCGCATTAATATATTATAAGTACCTTGGTATTTACACCCTCTTTGCTTGCACCCCTTTGACGGCACTATCACCCTAAAAATAATTTTAAATGGAATAGGGGGTCGAGTGATACCTTGTTTTAAAGGTCTTTTGAGTCTTTTTATATCTGTAGAGTTTGAAGTCTCTATTGCCATTCGCGTTGAATGGTAACGCCACTACTTTTTAAATAAAATTAATATTGTTTTTGAAATCCCCATTCAATTTACAACATATTTTATTTCTTGACTTTTTTTATCCGACGCACCATTTTTGCGTAAAAAAATAAACACCATTTTCATGCATAACCAAATCGCTAAAATGTTACCATAAATTTAAATAGCAAAATTTGTAAAACGGCAAATTTAAGTTTAAAAAGATTTTTTATTTTCCAAAAACTTCTTTCTATGAACCTAGTACGAACTATGTTCAACCAAAACTAAATTATTGTCGTTTTTCAAATTTTACCATTAAAATTTACATTACCATTTTAGTGATTTGGTCATGTATGAAAATTGTTTTTATTATTTTAAGCGAAAACGGTGCAATAATATTCAATTCAATAATATTTTGTTTAAGTACCGTAGGGTGGTATACAGTGGTATAATAGATAGAATTACTGGAAATCGATTCAAGGTCGTTACGCCGTTACGCCGATACACCGTTTTCAGGATAGTGTGGATGCACCCTCAGTGTCCCATCTCAAAACGTTTATTTTGGCGAGATCTACCAACCTTTAGATTTTGGTACAATAGTTTCGGAACACTCTGTATTTTTAAATCTACGAAAACTTAGGGATATTTTAAATTAATTTAAGATATAAGAAGAAAACCTAAAAAAAACTTTAAAATTGCCTAAAGTAACAGACTTTTTAGTATTTGCAAAACCCCTTCAACGTCAAATTCTGAGTTGAATAAACACCAAGATCATGAACTGCCTTCCTGTTCAACTTCAAGCAATATTAGTTTAAGTGAAAATAACAGCAATGAGGAAAAATAATCCGACCTGGGAGGCCCCAAGGCTAGCCCCTGGCCCCGGGCCCCCTAGGACCTTAATCCGGCACTGGGTTTTCTACAGGTACGGGTAGAAAACTACTGAGTAATAAAATATACATTTACTATTTATGTTATATAAAAAAGGATCCTTGGTAAAAATCGCTACGAGTAATGGTTCTCGAGACATTTGGAATCGAAATTATCAATACCCATCATCATTGACATAAATTAAACATGTTGACTAAATAGTTATTAGACTGACATAAATTTGAAATGTTTTTGTGCCAAAAGTTCAACAGAAACTGTTTTATCATCATTTTCATCACGAAAAGTTATTACTCTTCAAACCAGTTAAAAATATGTACGTAGCGTCCTCTACAATTAGGAGGCATATTGATATCAAAATAACATTTCTCTTGTCAAAAAACTCGCAGACACCACTTTTCATCCAAATATTGACTTTATGTTTGGAAACAATTGAAATTGAAATGAAAAATCTACACCCTGTCAAAGACAAACCCTGTATCTAAGAAACTAAGCATTTTAGGACATATCTACATTTATACGAACTTTTTTACTTATTTTTATTTGCAGAATATGCTGCCGAAGTTTCCGGAATACAGTTCGGGCCACCCTGTTTATATCCCTTTAATTAATAAATACAGACATTTATTATGATAAAATAAATCAATAGTTAATTTAGTTCCAGATGCTACTGTTACACACATGTAAATTGATGACTAACTTTTTAACAATCGAGATCTAAATGGCCACCAAACCATTGCACTATTTCATATGCCGCATATGCGTGATGATTAAAATCAATACTGCGTAGCAGAACTTTTAATATAGCTTACTAGTAGCTTCATTAATCTTAAGGTAGCATATTAATCTATCTAACTCAAATTCAAAAATTGTCTTAAATCGGGGGGCAAAAATTATTAAGGCAGAATTCAATGATAAATTTAAACAATAATAAAGCTTCAGTATTGTTTTAATATGTAAAATGTGAACGTATGTGTGGATTGACTTTAATTGTATTTGTCTGATGATCCTCGTATGATCGAAACACGTGTCACTCTTTAACTTAATTTAAACGTTGAGACCGAGACTTTGAGTCTTTTTTCGTCCTCTTTTTAATTTAAATCAGGTCTTTTTGAGAAGAATGGATGCCTTCTTTAAATAAAGCTTCATTCAGAACCTCAAAATTAGTGGAATAAATCAATGGTTTCAATTATTAGCGTAGAAGTTTGTTCCTCTAATATCAATGTAAGCATTCACAACGTCAAAATTAGTGGCAGAAATCTTGAATTAGTGGAAAAAGTTAGTAAACTTTTCCACTAATTATACTTATTCTTACCAGGAATGTAATTTTGGCCTTTAACTAACATCCGCCAAGAAAAATCGTGGTTAGTAATCAAAAGTTTATTGTCTTATAAGCTAAATATTAGTTTTTTTTTCTGTGGATACAACTGAATATTGCAAGCTGTTACCAGGATATTCTGCTAATTTATTCCACTAATTGCGAGATTTTTAATGAAGCTTAAAAGTAGTCAATTTCTTTAAAGTTACTTATACATTAGTATTTAACACCATTTTACAGGCAAGTCCTAGACAAGCACATGAAACTGTATTGACATTTAAGTTAGATATTGAAATCTTCCTTTTGACTACAACTTAAACGAAAGGAGATATGTTTGTGAAGATTGTGTTAATATATCATATTGTTAATAATATCGGTTACTTTGATTATTCCTTTATACAGGGTGAGTTTCCTACGATGTTCTCCATGGGTATCTCGGGAACTACTGGAGATAGAGAGTCGCTTAAATGGGGAAAGAATTGCAGTTTTGTGGGGTCATAAATATGCGCCTTTCAGATTTTTGAAAAAGTTCATGGCTTACTAGATATTTGGAAAAAAAACAAATTTCGGCTATTTTAAAAATTGTGCCTAATTCCATTATAAGCTATTTTTGACAAAAAGTTTTCAGATAAAAGTTGTAGATGTTCCTCCGTTTTCTTCTAAAGTCTGTCATTTTTGACATATGACACAAACATATGTTTTTTAAATGGAAATCATAGTTGGCCATGACTTCATAAAAAGCGCCTTTTTTAAGCTTTTCAGCGATATAAGCGATAATATGTTTTCTTCGAAAAATTACTGAGTTATAGCCAGGTAGGGCCATGTTAGGAAAGTTAAATTTAGTTATAGCCAATTCTTATCCTTCTTGACTAATTTCAATTACATTGCATGGTATTCTTATTCTGTTATGATTTATAACTTATAAAAAGTCAGAATATATTACTAAACGGTTCCTTATAATTTACATTGCACAAACTAAAACTAAAAAATAATATCACTGCATACACTTTAAGTTATTTTAGAAAGTGTTCAAAAAATCCGCCATTGTTTTGAGTTGCATCTTTTTAAAACTGAATTACTACCTATTCTCATAGAAGGGCCGGTCGACTTAATTAAATTTCTCTAGTATCGCCAGGCGAGAGCAACGACGATTGAACTTGTTTCCATGGCTAACTAAGTGAAATTGTTTAAAAATGATAAGAA